AGACAAGTAAAATCAATTTTTTTTTTTTTTACATTTTTTTCGGATTTTTTTTATTAATTTTTAACATTTTTATTAACTTAATTAATCTCTGCCGTTGGATTAAAAATTTGAAATCCAACCCTCCAGGCTATGCCACGTGGCACAACAGTAACATTTCAAAATTTATTAATGTGAATTCTTTTTTTTTTTTAATTTATAAAGGCAAATAATGTGGACCGTTGATCTCAAATCCAACGGCTAATATTGTGCAAGGTTTCAAATTTTTGTTTTTACCATTGGAAATCCAACGATCCAGAAAAAGTAACCGTTGAAATCCAACGGATGAGAAAAAGCCACGTGGCCACCAACGGTAACACTTCTGCCATCAGCATCGCGGGCCCCAGCACCTGAAATGTTGTCAGGGACACGCCCCCATGAGCTCGTGTTATGCACGCGCCTGACGTAAAAATAATTAAAAAATGGTTGACGTCACCCTGACGTCAGAGTTGCATCAGTTGACCCTCGGACTCTCGGACCACCAATTTGCGCCGGACCTCTCGCTCGGCCCCCCTCCCCAATCGCCCACATGGGCTGGAGGTTGTTGTTGGAGCTATTGGGTTGCAAAAATCACCTGTCCATCGGGCTCCGATGAACGCTGGAGCTGCTATTAGCTCATGAGAAAACTATACACATAATTGATGATGATGCAAATCTGTTGACAAAAAGCATAAAGTTCTCTTCTAACCAATTTCATTAAAATATAACATAAATTGGTACTCACAAAACATCCTACACTGTCAATGCAGCTGGCCAGTTATCCCTCCTTTCACAATACTATGTCTATGCCAAAATTGTAAAAATACATTTATGTCCCCTATATATTAGTTTAATACTATTTGAAAAAAAAAATTAACAAACACAATAAGGGTACTTTTATTTCAATAAATTTTTTTAAAAAAATCCACACAATTTTCTCAATATCTTGTTTTATCTCCACAACTTTTTAAACGAAAGACTTCGAGCAAAATCGAAGACAATGACATTTTAAAATTTATACAGCCTATTCTACTTAATCAGATAAAACTTAATTGTTGTTGTTTATTCTACAACATATACGATTACGGTGTTTTTCAAAATAAAATTATAGCTAACCTTTGCATTATCCGATTGAAAGAAAAGAAAACAAAAACCTAGACGAAATAGAATGGAAGAGTAAAATTGCAGTAGTGAACTGGGAAATGTACGACGTAAAATAAAAAGTGTTTAGGGTTTTAACTTTTGATTAATGTTATTCATACCATGTTTTTGTACCATATTTTCATACCACCTCAGGTGGCATTTGATATGGATAGCCATTTGAATTAATCAGATTTTTAAATTTAGTTCATTATTTAATAAACTAATAATTAAGAAAAATTAGTTAATTAAATGATGATTGTGGTATACAAGGAGTCTTTCTTCTTTATTTCTCTGGGATTTGCAAATTTTTCAAATGATGTAGTTGTCCACGTCAGATGTCACATAAGATGTATAAAAATATGGTATAAAAACATGATATGAATAACATTACTCTTAACTTTTATCATATCCTATAATTTGATTGAGGGGGAAATTGGCATGCAAAATTAATAAAATGGGAAAGTGACGGACAAAGATTTTCTTTCAAAACGTAACACTCCAACGGCCTCAAACGGCAGCCAGAACACGTGGCCGGTGGCTGCACGACATTCGGTCTTTCAACCTCCAACGACAGGAAAGCGAAAAATATGCTAGCTCATCCAGAATGTGACGCGTGAGAAGCCGTGTCTTGACCCGTTAGTACACAATCTAGCCGACTTTTGGATTTGGATTGACCCATTACCACTAATTGCTTTCTTTTGCTAAACACTTTTGGGTTTAAAGATGGAGATTTGTGAATGGATTTTTCCTTTGTTTTATGCTCGTACCGACCATGGGGACTAGACTACGTCAAATGTCATTGCTTTTTTAGTGATATTTTGTGGTGGGAACTTGGGTTATGGAAATTTCTACGAAGCATTTCATTGGAGAAGTTGGTGAAGCTCAACCACCACGGTTTGAAATGAATTTCAGATCTATGTTTTACAAATCATATATTTGGTTTGATTATTGATGTTGGTGAATGCACGAACGTGGCCAAGATGAAATTGAAATGTCTTTGTGAGTCTTCCTAACTTTTGAAAGGATGAACTGTCGTGACAAAACCATTAATTGATCTATTTTTTTTTTTAAATGAAGTTGGGAGAAGTTCTCTCACTTCACTTTTAGGTATTTTATTTCTTGGGTCTAATTTCAGAATATTTTTTTTTCCCTTACTTAATCATGTGAAACAAAAGATAAACCAAATTGGTCCGAAGGCTAGTACGGGATTTTAAAGGTTTTGTATTGTTAGTCTATTATTACTAGGTCAATGTGAGGTTAAGCTCATCTTTTTTTCTTTGTATAGATAATATTGTTTGTTAAAAAAAATAATAATAACGAAGGTAAGAAGAGAACAGACACATATTAAAGAAGTGCTTGTATTGTTGTTATATTGTCTTTTCAATGCGTTGTTTTTCTTCTCTATGTGTACAACGTACATTATCTTACTAAAAACACTGCTTTTGCTCATTGATTTTCATGTTTGGATTATAACGGGCCATTTCACTGTCCTACTTATAATCTTAAGATGCTTCTGTACACTTAACTACCTAGTTTGTTTCAAAACTTGTAAATTTTAGTTGTTCAAGTTCTCTCATTGCACAGTTAATTAGAAAAATAAGAAACAATATATGGATCAAAATAATATTGTCAGTCAACCCAGGGTTTTATAAATTTATTTAAGCCATGGTTTAACACAATTGTGCTTTTGTAAATGCAAATATATTAACATGAGTTTCATTTCATTCAGCCTTTTCAATTATTATGATTTTCAACTCATAATATTTTATCCAAATATCAATGTCTACAGCTCTGATAAATTTGTTTTTGAATAGCTTTATAAATTTATTATTTTTCGACCAAAAAGAACTTCATAAAAGTTATTTAAGCCATGGTGTTGTTGTAGTAATTTCAAAGTTTCAAACGACTCCGACATCCTTCTAGTGTTTATTTAGCAAACAAAAAGGAGAAGTAAGAAAGTAACTACTAATTTTTTTGCGGCCCAAATCAGGCCCAGTTAAAAGTGTTATTCAAAACACTATTTTCTGGCGTCTCCGACCCAAGACCCAAAATTTGCATGGCCATAGCCTATATCGCAAACATTTCTGACTTCTCATCAAATTATTATTATTTTATTTTATCAATTCATCAAATTATTTTGCATGGCTTGTTTCTACTCTTTAGAATCTTTACAGAGTGAAGATTCATGAATGCATGCAGTGGCTTGCGGCTTTGGGGAGGGCTAAAGGGTGCTAAAAATTATTCTGTCATCTACTATTTATATGTATAATATTATATTTAAAAAAGTCATTTTATTAGTACTTTCAAACTTTATGATGTGATATTCATAAGTGTAATTTAAAAAAAAAAAAAATTAAAAGTTCAGAGTGCACAATAAAATATTTAGAGTGACAAATAATTTTTCAATTTTGTTAAACAATGATGCTATATATTCAAGTGTATGTGGTATAATACTCTAATGGATAGAGTGTTGGGTTTCTACTCATATGCCTCGGGGTTCAAAACTCCATTCCTTTAAATTATTATAATAGTTTCTAACTCTCTCTTTCTCTCTCTCTCCCCCCTAATAATAGCAAACATTTTTTTTTAATTTTTAAAAATGCTATATATTCAAGTGGAATTTTAAAATGAGTTTTTGAAACTTCTTTTTTTTTTTTTTTTTTTTTCTTCTTGTTTGGCTGTTTAAGCTTGAATTGCTTTTGAAATATTTTTTTCTTTTAGTATAACGATATATTTTACACTAAAGGGAGGAGGAGTTCGACTAAGCCATATAATGGGGAACCTAATTTGGTATCAATTTGCCATCTACGAGATTCGAACCTAAGACCTGTCACTAAATTTGATTATTTAGTGAAGGTTATGTTTTTAGCTATTTTTTACTTATTATTTAATGACGTTTGTAAACTTATAATAAGTGATTTGTTTTTATTTAAGTTATTTCTTTCTAGCATCAACACATTGTCTTTTAGCCCAAAAAAAAAGGTAAACTGAAAAACTCCATCCCTTCCTTCTTTTGTTGGTGTTGTAGCTTCAGATTCACTTTTGACTTTGTCATGTAATCTCTGTAATGTTTGTGGCTGAGAGAATAAATGCAAAATTATCAGTGCTTCATTGATATAAATTCATCCATGCTTCTAATGAATCTGTTTGTGATCTCTGTGTATTTGTGCATCTATGTTTTTATTTTTTTCTGGATAAATGGAGGATTTTTTTTTATTTTTTATTTTTTATGAATTGGAAGTGTACGATTTCTCTTTTCTTCTTTCAATGATTTTTTATGGTGTGATGGCTTGATGGGTCTACCAAATCCAATCAAAACTTGAGGGATGCAAAAACAATAAATAAAAAAAATACAATACCCTCTATGACTTCTTTTTACAAATTTCAGTGAGATGTGGGTTTTTATCTCAAATTTCAGTCTTTTGAAGTTGAAATTGATTACGAAGTTGTCAAATGCATATTTCAGGCTGTTTGACTCCAACATGCTCATCAGCAACATCACAAAGGTGATATGCTTGGATGATTACCATTCCATAGATAGGATAGGGAGGAAGAAGAAATAAGTGACGACTCTAGACCCAAAAGCTAACGACTTTGATCTTCCGTTAGACCCAATAGTGTAACTGTTTTCAGTTTCATAAACAGTCAGTTTTAGCATACTCGTTTTTAGTTCATAAACTGACACGCCCGACCCTGATATTCACCAAACATCAGGGTAGGCACGTGTTGGCCAACACCTGAAGGTGACGAAGCCATATTAGGATGCATGCGAACTAAAAACAATTAACCGACATAAATAAAACTTATAAATTTAATTATAATGAATATGCAATTGTGGATCGTGTTCAAAGCATACAACTAATTCAAGACACTAAAAAGGAATAATATAATATTGAATGAACAAAAGGATGGGTTCTACACCAAGAGGACTCGAAGATGCAAATGTGGGAGTGCCTTGACGTCGGGATTGTAATCCTCGATGCTAAGTCTTGAGGGGGCGCAAAACAAAACATGAGTGAACCAAGTTGATATATAAGTAGTAATAAAATAGTTAATCTTTAACGTACTAAACCCTAGGTTTAGAAAACTCGTATAGCATAATAAGTAATAGGTTTTTCTTAAAACCCTAACATGCCATAAAACCTTTTGTAATACATATATCATATATAATGTGCTTAGTAGTAGTAGCACAAGGCATATATATAACTTCATTCGCCCAAAAGCACTTTATCTTCCGCCTATAGGCACTACAACCCTCCACCTTAATATAAGTGTCATTCGACTGAAGACACTACATCACCCAACTGAAGCCAAATATAAGTATCTTCTGACCAAAGCCATCTACAAACACCCAACCGAAACCATAAATAAGTATCTTCCGGCCAAAGCTATCTACAAACGCCCAGCTGAAGCTAATATAAGTATCTTCCGGTCGAAACCATCTACAAACGCCCGACTGAAGCCATATATAAGTATCATTCGCAAGTAGGTAGTATCGTTCCCCCGTAGGCAGATCTTATGAATAACCATTAAGTAAGTACATAAAAAATCAGAGTTTAGTAGTTAAAACGTCATATCGTAAAACCATGTTCACAAGTATGTATATAATCATCAATCATATATACCACAAGGAACGTAAAGTCAATAAAGCATGATATTTCATAAAGCATAAAACCAATTTACTCATAAACGTTTCATAAAACGTAACCAATAAATCATGATTTTCATGTATGCATTTCTAATAGTAAAATCATGCATTTTAGAAGAGGTCAACTTACAGATACTTCGCTGTCGAAGAGCCGTGCAAACTAGAGATGACGAAACGCCATAAACAATTGCACCTAAGCACATAAAGGTACCAATTAATAAAACTCTATCATAACGATTGAATTTTGGGAAACGGACGTCATAAACAGATTCAGGACGTTGAAACTGGACGTCAAAAAAAGTCTACGGTCAACTGGTAGGATCTGGTCAACGAGTCGGGTCAAGTCTTAGGTTATGGGCCAGGTCGGTTAGGTTTGCAACTGGATTGGGCTAGGTTCCAAACTGGATTTTGGACCGAGTACAATTAGGTTTAGGCCTGATTACATATGAGTTTGTGGGCCGGCTGCATTGTACAAGGGTTGGGCTGAGGGAAGTTGGGTTAGGCTAGGTAATTAGGTTGGGCTAGGTAATTAAGTTGGGCTGGGTTTAGGGTAATTGGTTCCGGTCGACTTGGTTTTCAGGCCGTGGGTCGACTGGTTTCCACGAAGTAGAACGCTGAAGCTTCCAAGCTCCGGTCAACCCAAAACTCCACAATTACACGTCATGCCATAAACGAAAATGAAGCTATGGAGGAGATGAAGGATGTTATACCTATCCCATGGCCAGTCGTGGCTGGAAAACAACCTACAAGTCTCGGACTCCCTCGTCAAAAACTGGGAAGTTCTTCCCCGATCTGTTTCTTCGTTCAACAAGTATAAACCACTTAAAATCTACCCTAATCAAACCTTAAGCACAACCCAAAGGAGTCTAAGCACCTACCTACGACGAGAGTGTGTCGGGGAAGCCAGAAATAGTAACTCCGCCACTATTGAAGGTCTACAGTCTTGGCTTGGGGTGGAGATTGTAAGGTTCAGACGGTGGTGCAGGTCTGATGGGGTGATGTTGTTGTTGACGTTCGTTGTGTGATGTGTGGTGAGCTCAGAGAGAGAGAAAGTTGTAGGGAGGGATGAGGTAGAGACAGAGAGAAGAGATAAAGTGAGGGGGAAAGAGAGAAAGTGTGACGGTGAGGGGGAAAGAGGAAGAACAAATGGGCTGGGGGACAAACTCAAAGGGTGGCCCCATTTGGCACACCAATTAAGGCCAGAAAGCAACATCTTAAACAAATATCCCACAACGAAAGTGAAAATTACTATTTTACCCTTTCGGTTCACCAAATCCGGGATAGTTGTTACATAAACATTTAGTTTTAGAAATAACATACCTGTTTTCAATTTCATAAATAGTGTACTCATGTCGAGTTTTATAAATAGTGTACCCGTTTTCAATTTCATAAATAGTGTAACCGTGTTGAGTTTCATAAATAGTATACCCGTGTTTTGTTTCATAAATAATCAAAGTGTAACCGTGTTGAGTTTCATAAATAGTATATCCGTGTTTTGTTTTATAAATAATCAATTTCGTAAATAATGTACCCATGTTGGGTTTCATAAATAGTTAGTCCCTAAAATAGTTTAGTACCCATGTTTAGCTAACTAGATTAAAGCATTTGTGATTTTTGCACATCTTCTATCTTCTTTGGCATTCTTTATTTTCATTGTTTTTTACTTTATTCAATCTAAAAATTAGAGTTTTTCTTCAACATTCTATACTTTCATTCTTCTTAACTTTATTCAATCTAAAAATCAAAGATAAAATCGTAAAAATCGTTTCCCGATTAAAATAGAGAAAACCTAACCATTTTTCTCTTCACATAAACGTGACAAGTACGTTATTTTCTGTTACAAGTGTGCATTTGTCATGTTGCTCTATTTCATTAAAAAAAAAAATATATCGAGATAGAATGCCACACCAACAATCAATTAGCATTGCTTACCATTCCCTGTCAAAAGCACCTAATCTTCTCTCTCTCTCTCTCTCTCTCTCGGTGTGTCTGAGGACAGACAAGAATAGTGGGGCAGCCGATCTTGGAAGCTCCACTCTTTTTTCTTTTTCTTTTTTTTTTAAATTATAATTTCAAACGTTGTTACAATTAAAAAAAAAAAAAAAAAACAAAATCAAAAAGCCAATCGTCCCTCTCTTCTTACAGAAAATCTGGTTGTCTCCCTTGAGTTCCCCAATTACACCTCGCCCACTGCACAATTGCATCGCGGACACACTCGGCAAAGCGGCCTGCCTTTCTTTCAAGCGGAAGCGGGAATGTCTGCGCAAACGTCGGTGAGAACGGATAGCTTGATTGCGGGAGATCCATAAGGTACCGTTTGGTATGTGGGACGGGACGAAACAGAGTGGGACAAGGCGTTCTGTCCCACGTTTGGTGCGCCTAAAACGGGTGGAACGAGCTGTTCCACGGGACGAGTTTTGGGTGAATTTTCGTTCCACCTCACCATCTGGAACGACTCGTTCCACCTCACCCTCTGGAACGACTCGTTCCACATCCGTGGAACACAAAATTATAACCTCTCTGTCTCCTTCTTCCTCCTTGTTTCCATCCGAGGGCATCTTTGCTCCCGCTCCGTTCCGTTCCGTCCTGTCCCGTCCCGTTCCGTCCCGTACCATCCCGTTCCGTCCCGTCCCGTCTGCATACCAAACGATACCTAACATACTGAAAACTCAATTCCTTGTCTAGTGCCATCAATCTTCCAGATGGTTTACTTTCATCCTAATCTGAAATCTTCCATTCCCAATTTTCATACCCTTTATTTTACTTTCCTCCGAATAGGATGAACATGAAATAGAAACAAATTCGAAATTGCCTTTATTTCCATTCCATACGCTTCATACGAAATTGCCGAGCTCCTGCATGACACCTCTTGGTCTTGGTTTTGAAAGTTGGTGTGCTTCTGCTGCTCTGTTGTTGCCTCTGAATGTGATTGACAAAACCCAAAAAACTTACTGACGGAATGGGTTTTTCGTTAATAGGGGCAAGAGTTGGAAACTTATTTATTTCGTGTTGAGCTTTTAACTCAGCTCATGTGCGTGTTCAGTTTGCGAGACCTCGTAAAGATTAATTTTGTGTTTATGATTAAATATGAAATTTTTTTTGTTTAATAATAGAGAGTTTTAATGAAAAATACGTTGTACTATTCGTTTTAACGAAAAATCATATTTTTACACTAAAAGTCAAACCTGATACTATTAACTTTACTTTTTATTTTGTCCTTATCGTTAAAACTCAAAATTTTCAAATTATTTTCATTAATTTTCCTTAAATAATATTACAAGGTAGATTTTTTAAAAATAAACTTAACTCAAGTCATTTTCATTAAAGCACCTTACACAAAAGAGAGGACGGAAGAAAACGAAACCCTATAACCCAAGAAACAAAGAAAAATGAGGGATGAAAGTTCAAAATAGATGGCCTGTTGCAGTCCCAAGTTGATTTTTCTTGTTCCTTAGTATTTTCTATGTTATTTCTAAGATGAAGTTCCGCTTCTACGCTGTTCCCCCCTCCTTCCTCCTCAAGAAAACGAAACCCTATAACCCAAGAAACAACGAAAAATGAGGGATGAAGGTTCAAAATAGATGGCCTGTTGCAGTCCCAAGTTGATTTTTCTTGTTCCTTAGTATTTTCTATGTTATTTCTAAGATGAAGTTCCGCTTCTACGGTGTTCCCCCCTCCTTCCTCCTCAAGAAAACGAAACCCTATAACCCAAGAAACAAAGAAAAATGAGGGATGAAGGTTCAAAATAGATGGCCTGTTGCAGTCCCAAGTTGATTTTTCTTATTCCTTAGTATTTTCTATGTTATTTCTAAGATGAAGTTCCGCTTCTACGCTGTTCCCCCCTCCTTCCTCCTCCCCCTTTCATTGGATCCCTTCTTTGCCACTGAATAGAGTTGCATAGTTGTTTATGTACCGAAAAAAAATCCAATCAACCAAAAAGTCTGACTAGCTAGATAGGCAGTGAAAATGGCCGAATTTATTCCACTAGCACTGGTGCTAATTGAAAATTCCAAGATTCTCAACCTCCGTCTTTCAAGCGATGCCAGGGCTGATGTTGAAAGAGCCAACAAAATTTTGCGGAGGATGCAAGCCTATCTGACGGACTGCTCATCGAAACAGATCTGTGAAAGCTCCCAAGTGTTTCAAAATCGTGCAAAAGAGATCCAAGATGTAGTTTACGACATTGAGGATGCTCTTTCCATGTTCTTGGTTAAGATTCCTCATCACTACCATAGCAATTTAATCTCTATATCTGCGCACCGCGCTAAACATTACCCTTCTGAATGGAAAGCACGCAGAAAGTTGTTGCGCAAGCTCAAACAAATCGAAAGCGGAGAAAGGTTTTCTTCACCAGATTTGGATTCACTTATTGTCCAACCACCAATTCCCAACACAGGATTTGAAGAAGATAATAATAATTTGGTTTATCACCAAGTAGTGGAAGAAGATGAAATTGTGGGGTTTGAGACGGCTATCACAAAACTCATCCAACAGTTGAGGGAAGAAGAATATGTCAGTCAAAGGCCTCTCATGATTTCAATTGTTGGTCCTGGTGGCTCAGGCAAAACCACCCTAGTAAAAAATGTTTACGAGAGAAGAAGCGTGCAGGCCGCCTTTGATTTCCATGCTTTTGTTGATGTGCCGCGTTCCTTTCAATTGCAAACGCTCTTGCTAACCATGCTGAGAAATTTTGAAGCCCAAAGTATGCAGGAACCAGTAGCTGAGCATCATCATCATCGTGAAGAAACAGATCTGAGGAAGAAATTGAGACAAATTCTGGAGAAAAAGAAGTATTTGGTGGTTTTGGATAATGTTTGGAGCGAACAAGATTTGAGACTTATAGTAAATGCTCTGCCGAAAGGTTTGTCTGGGAGCAAAATAATCACAACTACTCGGGACTCTAATATTGTAGCCTCTTGGCATGCAAGTTCTGACGATTATATCCATGATTTGAGTAACGGATTATCCTCCCAAGAAGCCAATAAACTATTCTGCAAAAAGGCTTTTCACGGAAATTGGGAGCACTGTCCAGAAGAGCTTGAGGATTTGGCTCAAATAATCATCAGTGATTGTGGAGGCCTGCCCCTTGCAATTTCTACAGTCGGTACTTTCCTAGCTCGGCAGAAGCCACAAACTTTTGTGAAGTGGAAGCAGTTCCGTGATAGCTTTGGCTCCAATCTTCAGATTGTTGGTCAAGCTTTGGAGCCAAGTTATAGGGACCTGCCAGACCATCTCAAAAGTTGTTTTTTGTACTTCAGCATGTTTCCAGAAGACAGCTCAATCAAGCGTGAGAGGCTAATTCGCTTGTGGGTAGCCGAAGGATTTGTGAAGCAAGGAAGGGGAACCCTAACCACCATGGAGAAGGTTGCAGATGGTTACCTAAATCAACTCATTGGTAGAAAATTGGTTGATGTGAGTTCAAGAGAGATCAATGGACAAGTAAGGAGTTGCTGTGTTTCCAACCTTGTTCGCAAGTTCATCAAGTCAAAAGCGGAGAGTTTTGTCACTGTGTTGGAATCAAACAACACTCGGGTAAGTACAAGCAGTACTAATTCAGGTGAGAAAATCCGACGCCTTTCTGCACATTATGTTTCTATAAAAGATTTATTAACAAGTGGTGGAGAATTGAATCAAACACGTACCTTACTAGTGTTTGGACCTTCCCAGCAGGCTCAATGTGATGAGGTTGGAAGGGTACTTAATACGCTTAAATATTTAAGGGTTTTAGATTTGAAAGGCATTCCTTTAGAGGACTTTCCAAAATCTATTTCTGGTCTCATTCTCTTAAAGTACGTAAGTATGAGGAAAACCAAAATCAAAACAGTCCCAAGTTCCATAAACCGGCTTGCTCATTTGGAAACTTTAGATCTTAAGCGCACCCGGGTGACCAAATTACCTGAAGAGATTTATAAGCTCTACAATATGCGCCATCTTTTAGTGAGTCGTGGCTGTGATGGTGATGATGATGGACCCGCTCAAGGAGTAGAGGTTTCTGCAGGCAACATTGGAGCTTTATCCGAATTACAAAAGTTGTCACTGATTAAGGTGGGAAACAACAGAACAATACTAAACGCCTTAGCAGAACTAACTGGTCTCAGAAAGTTGGGCTTGACAGATCTCAAAATTGAACATGGAACAGAGTTGTGTTGTGCTATTGAGAAAATGGGAAGTCTTTCAACACTTGAATTGAGATCAACAAACGAGGAGGAATATCTTGAGTTG